TTTACTCAATTTATCAATCCTTGATTTTTCTCATTGTCATTTTATATTTTTAGTTTTTCAATTTTACAAATTTTCCCTTTTTTATTCGAGAACTTAAAAATTGAAATGTCTGAAAACCGAAAATACGAGAAACTGCAAATTCGAAAAAGTGTAAAATAGAAAACTTTTAAATCGAAGAACTGAAGAAACGAAAAATTGAAATATTGAAAAAATTAAAAATTGAGAAACTTAAAAATCGAAAAAAATTAATGATTGGAAACATTGGAAAACCCAAAAGTTGTAAAATCAAAAATTATGGAATCGTCAATTTTTTTTTATTTGTAAAGGCGAAAAACTAACACTGAAAATGAAAAATGAAATATCGAGAAATTCAAAATTTTGTCAATGTTTCTTTCGATTTTGTGTTTCGTTTATTCAATTTTTCAATCTTTGATTTTTCAATTTCTCATGTTCATTTTATACTTTTAGTTTTTCATGTTTGATTTTTCAGTTTTACATCTTTTCTTTTTTTTGATTCGAAAATTTAAAAATTGAAAAACTGCAAATCGAAGAACTGAAGAAACCAAAAATTGAAATATTGAAAAAATTAGAAACTGAAAAATTTTAAAAACGAAAAAAATGTATAATTCGAAACTTTGGAAAATCCAAAAGTTGCAAAATCAAAAATTATAGAATCGCAAAATTGTAACATTGAAAATGAAAAATGAAATATCGAGAAATTCAAAATTTTTTAAATGTTTCTTTCGATTTTGTGTTTCGTTTATTCAATTTTTCAATCATTGATTTTTCAATTTCTCATTTTCATTTTATACTTTTAGTTTTTCATGTTTGATTTTTCAGTTTTACAACTTTTCCTTTTTTTGGTTGGAAAACTTAAAAATTGAAAAATTGCAAATCGTAGAACTGAAGAAACCAAAAATTGAAATGTTGAAAAAATTAAAAACTGAAAAACTTAAAAATCTAAAAAAAAATATAATTCGAAACATTGGAAAATCCAAAAGTTGGAAAATCAAAAATTATAGAATCGTCAAAATTGTAAAGGCGAAAAAATGTATCATTGAAAATGAAAAATGAAATATCGAGAAATTCAAATTTTTCTTAAAGTTTCTTTCGATTTTATGTGTCGTTTATTCAATTTTTCAGTCTTTGAAGTTTCAATTTCCCATTTTCATTTTATATTTTTAGTTTTTCATTTTTGACTTTTCGATTTAACAAATTTTCCCTTTGTTTTTTGATTCGAGAACTTAAAAATTGAAAAATTGCAAATCGAAGAATTGAAGAAACGAAAAATTGAAATACTGAAAAAATTAAAATTGGAAAACTGAAAAATCGAAAAAAATTAATAATTCAAAACACTGGAAAATCCAAAAGTTGCCAAATCAAAAATTATAGAATCGTCAAAATTGTAAAGGCGAAAAACTATAACACTGAAAATGAAAAATAAAATATCCAGAAATTCAAAAATAAAAAATAAAAAAAATGGAAAAACCGAATAAATGAAAAAGTTTTAAAATCCAATTACCTGGAAAAATTCAGAAGGCATAAAATTGAAAAACTTACAAATTTTAAAAATTATAATTATTATTACATTGTATTTAAGACGAAAGCTAGGAAAATTGTCAATCAAAAATTGAAGAAGCGAAAAATTGAAAACTCCAGAAATTGAGGAATCTACAATTAAAAAAAAACTGAAAATAAAAAATCCAAAATTAAAGTTGTTTTAATGTACAGAACCTCCCCGCGTTGAGTTTAAAACAGGAAAAAATTTGTTGTAATTTAAAAAAAATATATAAAAAAAATCTGCGTTCTTCAAAAATGTTGCGTAATAAATGCTATTGAAATTTTATTAAATAACATACTCCTAAACTTGTGGTTTATGTGTCTGCTTCGATTCTTAACTTATACAGATTCTAATAAACAATAAAATTCCGCAAACTAAAATTTTATAATATTTTGAAGAAGCTGCATTTGTAGCAACATTGTAAACATAAATTTTGTTTATTGCTTGCGAATGTGTGTCAAAATCGCAGGAAACGAAAATTACAATAATTAAATAAAATATAAAACGCTATCAAAAACTGAATAAGACTCATAATTTTTTACTTTTTCTAGTACTTTTAGAGTTTAAAGTGGCAAATAATTGAAAAACTAAAAAAATAAACACAGTTCTGGTTTCAAAAAAATTAAATTATTGTTTTTTTTTAATCCTATTTATTAATTTTCCAACTCTACTTCTGTACTTGTGGGTTATGAATCCGAGTCGAGCTTTTCCCCTTGGCGTTCAAGCTGTACACAACCTTTTATACTAAATTAGGGCCTGCTCGTAACGCGGATTCGACCTTTGCTACCTTTTTTTTTCTTACCTTGTGACAGGTAGTTTCTACATTTTTTAGCTTGTACAGGTTATCAAAGAAATAAATTTCTCAAAAACAAATTTTATAACAATTCGAAGAAATCGAGACTTAGGGAAGTTCTGTCTAAATAATCTTGCACTACCAACCAAATGTGTTTTTTAATATACAGTATGTCCCCGGATTGAGTTTACAAGAAGGAAAAATTTTAAAAAATAATGTCAAAGAAATACAAATTTTTGTTTATGCGACTAAAACTACCAAAGTATAAACATGTGTTTAAATAAACAACAAACATTAAGTTTTTTTTTTTAAATAAATTGTTTGAAAAAAATATTATCCATTTAAAAAAAAACTGCTCTATTTAAAAGATTGTGTGGGTGAAGTACTTATTTTAAATCAAGACAGAATTTTTATTCCTTTGACATTTTTCTGCAAAATTTACAAATAAAAAAAAATTGTTAATATGGGAACATACTGTAGATCCACTGTCAAAACCAGTGCTGTTCTCATGTGACTATCATGCCCCATTAATAAATAGTATTCAAATTATGGGATAAACAAATTTCGGGAAGCCTCCTGCTAAATTAAATACTAATTAATTTTAATTAATTCTTAGATAAATAAAAACTTGCTTTTTGCCAGGGTTGGTCCGATTTTAATAATCTTAAATTACGAAAATATCATGCATATCAGATTTTTGGTCCCTGAGCAATTTAACAATTTAAATCAAAATAAATTGAACATTGTGTATAATAAAATATTTCCAACAAAATTAAACGCCAATTTTCTTTTGATATTTTACTTCCTTAGTGTATGAAAAAAATTGGTGTTTTTAATATACAGTATGTTCCCGGATTAAGTATACAGAAAGAAAAAATCATGTTCTTAAGAAAATAGTGTATTTCTTAACTGAAACAATCTGTATAGTGACACTGTAAACACCATCAAACGCAAGACCGAAAAAATTCATCTCCGGTGGTTTTAAATTTGTATTTAATCACAATTATTTAATACACTTTTCCTAATGTCTAAAATATTTGAAAAATATCAAAGCAAATTGGTTGAATATTTTTGGCTAAACACTCTGTATTAAAATAATTATTCTCAATTCGGTTACTAGGAATTCTATGTTTGTTTTATCACACAAATCTGAAAAAAAGTGGATTAAGAATGTCTCAGTTCTTTGAAGTTACACATTTTTTTTTAATTCTCATTATTCGTTTTTGGTCGTTTCAATTAATGTCTCAGATAAGGCACCTGTAGTGAAATAAAGGTGTTATTGTTAACAAACACGAAAGAAGTGAAGAAGTGAAAGTAAAAATATTGAAAAGAACAATAAAAAAATTACCTAAAGTGGGTGACAACAGAAATATTTTTTCAGTCGAAAAACAACTATTTAACGTTAATATTTACAAATGTCTCTGAATTCTTTATTTTTACAAAATTTAATGTTTTGTTTCTTCTAACAATTCATACAGATGCATTTTTCCTCAACTTTTACGTAATAGATGCTCTTAAATTCTTAAAATTAATAACTTGTTAATAAGCATGAAACGAAATAAGTACGTCAATAAAGAAATAAAATTACGCAGATAAACGGATCAAAAATTAAGAAGCCGAGTCGGCAAAATCACACACCACTACATAGTTTTGAAACAAACACGCGCACTCAAACTCATAATGAGCAAAGAAAACAAATCTCGAACAATGAAACATCACACAATATTATAATTAATACAAAATCAAATAATGAGATAAATGTTTTAATAGCAAGGAGAATAAGTAAGCGCAATTTGCACTTCATTTCGCCGTCAAATGGTTATTAGAGAAACACAGCACAGCATAATCGAGTCGTAAACGCTAGCAAATTAAAAAAAACCGTCTGCGTGGTAGTCATTTGAATACAGAAAAAAATCGAAAAAGTGCGAACAAAAATTAGTCCAAAAAAAAAATTGGGTTGGATAATTTATGCTTCAGGATAAAGTACAATGAAAATCCAGTCTGATTAAACAAGCGCGGTTTGTTTGTTTTTTGTTGTTTTAGCTAGATTTAAATAAAACGTCGTCCTTGCACCCACTCTCGAAACAAAAAAGCTCGCCCTCCCGATAACGCATTCCACCCCGAAAACTCCCCCAATAAACTCCCGTTTTAGCAACCTCCATTAAACCTCGAGTTAAAAGCCGGCTCGCGTTAAAAAACGTGATAATAGTGTGCAAGTTGACACTTTCGCCTTTTTTCCTCCCGCAAATCTAGATGGAGCACGATCCTGCGATTGCAGCAGGTCGTTGTCCTGCTAAGATAACAATAACATATTGTTTAGTCCTGCACAAAATATTGCCATTGTGCTAGGTTATGTTACGTGCTTCGCAGAAAGTAGCGTTTCGCATTGTTTACGTAGTAGAGCAATTAAGCTGTTAATTAACAGGACGAAAAGACATCAGTTAAGCTCTGCGGTCGGCGGTTAATTTTCATTCCAAATTAACCACCGAGAGATAAAGAACGTCCTATCGAAGGATATCCGTCTTAATGCGCTCTCGCGGGCCCAATTAGCACCATCGTCCGCATTTAAAACGACGCAGAACCCATTTTGATAAAAAGGGACCCATTTATCAAAAAAAATTGATATCGATTCCGCCGCGTACGCACCTGTCATAATTTTCTTGATCATAGTCCAGCACTCAGCCGCGCACCGCACTCATCACTTTGATAATCGATAGTTGATAGTTGATAACTGGCGATTGATAATCGAGCAACGTGAGCGCTGTCGGTCCACAACACACTGACTTTCAGGATGCTCCAGGATCCGGGACTTCTGTCAGGGGCGTGTTTAGGGTGGGGCGAGTGGGCAGGGCTATCCCACAGGATAACCCCCACCCCTCGCTTCGGTGGTGTCTGTGATAGTCAGTGCTCTGCTTGTCTTGTGTCGGCGGCAGGTTGGGGATGCTGCTGCGCTTTAAACTTCACTTGTTGGAGGATCGTGATCGATTGGGGCGGCGGGGGCGGTAAATAGGTCACGCGAAAATTACAAGCAAATCGGGAGAATTACCCGCAAGGACCACGCAGGTAATTGGCGGCTATTCAACGACGTTTTTACCTGACGATGACTTTATTCGCATCGACACCTTTTTCTGCGTTTCGGGGTAGGTAGCTTCTGTTTGGGTACAATGGAGATGTATCTGGGGACGTGAATGGTGCCATCGGAGTGTCACCGCTGGAATTGCTTGTTGGGCTTTGTGTCTCGGAAAATATGGATGTCTTCTTCAGACCGTAAATTGAATAAAAAATGTCTAGGACGTGTATTCTCACCAGTATTGATTGTGAACTTTTTCGAGTCGGAACTATCACGATCACTGAAGTCCACTGAAATTTTAATTGCAACGCCGCATAACCTCTCGGAAACCTATGAAAAAATCTATCCTAAACCACCATAAAAGATAGAGATATCAATTAAAAAAATGGGGTGACGTCATTTCCGCACGAGCCAAGAAAGCTACTGCTTTCCTTTAAGACGATAAAATAAGTTTTGCCTTATCAGAAATATTACTTAATGAAATATTTGGGTTTGAGATGATGACTATTGGTCAGGGTGAAGAGAAGCTAACTGATTGACTGAGATAATTATTATTGATAGAATATTATCAATACTAGGAATTAAAACGATTTTAAATTTTCTTAAAATGAATAACGTTGCAGCGACTTTTTTTTTATTACACTTCAGAGATTACCGGTGTCTATAAGATTCAACCGAAATCGTTTGAAAATAAAATAGAAGTTCGTTAATATGTCTGAAGTACGTTTTGCCTATAGAAACACGCTGTTCTGGAATGAATTGAGTTCACTTTCGAAAAAGCTGAACCAATTTATAGTTCGTAAGAAACGTAACACGAGAATTTCTTGATATCATAAGTATTTCTGAAAAAGTTTTAATTTTTAAATCTTCATAGAGAACTAATAACTAAGAACTGTTTTCGTTTGAAAACGTGTATTAACTAGAAACAATTTAGATTAATCATGTCAGGATTACATTTAAAGCCTTTATTGGACCAAACGACGAAGTAAATGTTTAAATAGTTCTAAAAAAAATAATAAGAATGGATTAAGAAACTCCATAAATAACAGTATGCTATTTTTCGTGCCTCATGTGAGATTTAGTTTTATCATTTCCAAGATATCTCAAATTCCGCGCAAAAATTCCAGAGTAATCACTTTGTAGCTTCTAAAATAAACTGTGGAATTTTGTTATACAATCGATTTTTTTCGAAAACTTTGCACACTCAAAGTGAAAAATAAACGTGAGTTAACAAACCACAGAAGTAACATTTTTATACTTAACAAAATTTAATTTTTTTGAAAGTCCCATCCATTTTTCCAGAAACGATAAAATGAAAATAACAAATGTCGAAATTTCTAAAAAAATTATTTTCAAATCGAATTTTTCGAAAATCTTGATCCGGGACCAACAACCCATTAGTTTTCCGAATTAACCCTTCAAAATATATTTCCTATTTTTTTATAACTCGTTACGAAGTTTTTCAATAGGTTCAATTTTTTCAACCTCTTGAATTTTTTGGCTAAAAATATTTTCTTGTAGATTTCGACTTGTAGATTTAATGATTTTTAAAGATCCATTTTTCCAGAAATAATATTTATGTCACTGTTACGTGTGTTTTGTTTCTATATTTGACGTGTTCAATGATCTTTATTGATACAAATGAATAAATCACCATTATTATTATTATTATAATGAAATGAATAGAAGAATTTTCGAAATATCTAAAAAAAAATTTTGCTAAGATAAGACTGATTTTGGCAAATGCCATACATTCTGAGAAAATAGAGGGCGGGTGGGCGGGACTAGTACTTGCTAGGGTAAGACTACTTTTGACAAATGATATAACTTCTGAGAAAATAGAGAGGAGATGGACGCCTAGTATATGCGAAGATAAGACTCAACAATGTTAAGAGTCTTTACCAGAATGAAGAAGGGGTGGGTGGGCGGGGCTAATGATTTCTCGTAAGACTTTATCGAAAAAAGGTAAACTCAGCTCCGCCTGCCTCCTTTCTCCATTTCACCGACTAATTTTATTTACTATAAAATGGGTCTTGAGTTTTATTTTGACAAGCAGTAGAACTTAAGATTTAACGCAAAGTCAAAAGTGTCCCCACCCACCCACCCCTATTCCTCTTTGATTACTCATTTTATTGGCTCTGAGACCAAAGTTGGAATGCTGTTACTTACTTATAAAAGACTTTGTAGGAAAAGGTAAACTTAAAAGGGAAATAGAGGGCGGGTGGGCGGGGCTAGTACTTGCTAAAGTAAGACTGATTTTGCCGCTATTAAACTCGTAAAATCTTGTTAAATTTAAAAGGTGTTAAATTGAATATTTCCACAGTTAAATTAAATTCCTAAATCTGACTGCATATTTATTTTTTAACAACTCAGTCATTAATTTTTCTGAGACACCCTGTATAAGCAAATGTAAAAAATATTAATTATATTTTAAAAATAAATCACAAGTATAGACTCATCATATTTTGCACATTTCAGGTAAATTTTGGAATTTAACTCGTTACTATGGAAATTTGCAATTTAACACCTTTAAATTTCACAAGTTTTTACAACATTAATAGGGGCAAAATCATTTTTGACTTAATAAATACTACGTAAACACCCACCCACCCGCTATTTTCCCAAAAGAAATAATAACATTTGCCAAAATCCGTCCTATCTTACCAAGTACTAGCCCCGCCCACCCGCCCGCTATTTTCCCAAAAGAAATATCATTTGTCAAAATCAGTCTCATCTTACCAAGTGCTAGCCCCGCCCACCCGCCTCCTATTTTCTATGTCATTTGCCAAAATGAGATTTATGTTAGCAAGTACTAGCCCCGCCCACCGGCCTTTTATTTTCCCAGAGGATACTACTTGCTAGTACTTGCTAAGATAAGTCTTATTTTGGCAGATGGCATATTCTCTATGAAAATAAGGGCGGGTGGGCGGGGCTAGCACTTGCTCAGATAAGAGTGATTTTGAAAAAATTGAAAAGGATCATGGAGACCCCTATGTTTTAGGTATTGAAGAAGTGAGAAGAATCTTGGGAACCCCTAATATTTGATTTTTTGAAAAGAATCTTTGGGTTCGTAGTGTTTTTTTTTTAAGAATGTTAAAAGAATCTCAGCGGTCTCTGGTCCTTTATTTTTAGAAAAAAAATTCAGTCCCTAACGTTTTTTTTTTTTTTGAAAAAATTAAAAGAATCTTAGGGATTCCTCGTGTTTTAGTTTTAGAAGAAGCTGAAAGAATGTAAGGGTCCGTAGTGTCTTTTTAAGGAATTCAAAAGAATTTTGGTGTCATTTTTTCCAATTTAGAACAAGCCAGTGGTTTCATTTAAAAAAAAAAATAAAAATAAAAATCTTTGAACAATTTCAAGGAAACTTGGGGTGAGTAATGTGTATTTTTTTCAGTTAAAAAGCCGCTAGTCTCATTTGAAAAAAAATTAAAGGAATTTTTAGGGATCTCTACTGCATCCTTTTTATCGACTTTTTACTTTACAAAATTTTGTGATGAGGTCATCAACATTTTTGCAAAGACACGTAAATCAACTTCCTGATTTAATCAATAAAATAAATTGATACATTCATTAATGTTTTGAGTCACCTGTATAAGCAAATTTTGATAAAACTCACAAGGAAAAACTCATGATATTTTGCTCATTTCGGGTAAATTTAGGAATTTAACTCGTTACTATAGAAATTTGCAAATTAACACTTAAATTTCACAAGTTTTAACAAGATTAATAGGGGCAAAATCAGTTTTATCTTAACAAGTACTAGGCCCGCCCACCCACCCGCTATTTATCCAAAAAAAATGTCATCTGCCAAAATCAGTCCTATCTTCTCAAGTACTGGCCCCGCCCACCCGCCCCCTATTTTCTCAGAGGATATGTCATTGGCCAAAATACGACTTATGTTAACAAATACTAGCCCCGCCCACCCACCCCCTATTTTCTCAGAGGATACTACTTGCTAGTCTTATCTTACCAACAACTAGTCCGGCCCCCTGTTTTCTCAGAGGAAATGTGATTTGCCAAAGTAAGACTTATGGTAGTAAGTACTAGCCCCGCCCACCCTCCCTTTATTTTGTCAGAGCGTTGTACTTGCTAGTATTTGCTAAGATAAGTCTTATTTTCGCAAATGACATATCCTGTGAAAAAATAGGGGCGGGTGGGCGGGGCTAGCACTTGTTCAGATAAGACTGGTTTTGGCAAACGTCATACCCTCTGAGAAAATAGGGGGCGGGTGGGCGGGGCTAGCAGCTGCCTGGTTAAATGAAACATCACAATTTGAGATATTCGAAAGACTTCATTTACAAAATTAATTTTGCCCAATTTCTCGTGAATCTTGTTTGATGATTTTTTAGCAACTTTTTAAAAATGTAAATTTTAAAATATGAATTTTTTTACTGTTTTTGGAAAAATCTTTAAGAATTACTCAGACATTTTCTCGTAGATTTCGATTAATAGAACTTGTTTTGGCTTTATTTAAAAAAAAATACAACAATTTTTCCAAAATCGATAAAATGAGAAAAGAAAATTTTAGAAATATTTTTAAAAAATCCATTTTTGAACTAATTTTTTCGCAAATTTGGGTGCGATACCAACAACTCGTTAGTTTTCCGAATCAACTGTACGAAATATATTTTCCAAATTTTTTTTACACTTGTTAGGAAACTTGAATTTTTTGACCCTTTTTCTAATACCCTTTGAAAATTACCGAAAGACATTTTCGTGTAGATTTCGACTTCTAGAAGTTATTTTCAGTTTTATTTTTACAAAAATTAACATATTTCTTCCAGAATAATTAAATGAAACCTTACAATTGTAAATGAAAATTTTACCCAATTTCTCGTGAATGTTGATGGGGAACAAACAATTTTTGTTTTAATCAGCTCTTCGGAATGTCGTTACCCAGAAAATTGTTTGAGGATTTTTAGGCAACTTCTTAAAAAAATAAATTTTTGACCGTTTTTCGAAAAACCTTTTACAATTGTCCAGATATTTTCTCGTAGATTTCGATATGTAGAAGCTAATTT